GCCACCTGAATGAGCCAGCGCTCATGAGATTTGTAAATGAGCGAGAACATTGATGAGTGCGAGCAAGTTCTCCTAAATCACTCATTCGAGCCACTTAAGAACAAATGTGTCGGAGGCCCAATATTCCCACTGAGCTGTTTACAAGGCGAATGAAAATAACTATTTCACTTATATTCCGGTTTACGTCCAGAGGTGCATATTCTGATTTAAAAAAAAAAAAAAAAAAAAAAAGGTTTCGTTTACCCCCGGTGGCGCGGTGGACTTGTTCGACCAACACAGTCTTTCATTACTTCAACCGCCTTCTTTAAATGGTTGGCGTTGCGGTTTTATTGCTAATATCCAGATACCTGTTGATATCCAAGTCTTTCACATTGTTTAAAAATGAAAGATGTTCCTGCTTCCAATCAGAAATGTGACCTTTTTTCCTTAACCCCAGCCTTGTAAACTGTTGGTTTGTGTACAACGTACAGAACTGACCGTAAACAAGCGACTAAAAACCCCGTATATTCCGAATGCGCTGTATGTCGCAAGAATTCTCCTAAAACCCGAATGGTATTGGCATACCTCTCATACATTTGAAAGAAGCCTTTATTTAGAATATCCAAAACGGAATATGCTGTTAACACGACCCATATCAAATTCAGAATATTTGGAATAATACAAGAATATTAGTGTGCATGTCGTCAATGATTACAGAAAGTTGAACTGATTTCTGTCAAAGGGAGGCATATCGACGGGATCATAAAGTCTTGTGTTGGAGAAATTGTCGACAGAAACAAAAAATGCCTTGGCAGACCTTCCCACTACATTTTGGCAGATCAACCACCACACGAGATTATTATTCATTTGGAACGGTAGATCCACGATGAAAGATTGCTACCCTTTGTGTAAACTGAGTTACCACTAATGGCAATGCCGAGTGGATGCTGTCGAGTCTAATATCTGCTCCTTGATGACACTGGGTGGAATTCATTTTTGGTCCGTGTAAACTTGCTGGTCGCACCGTAAGCGGACTGATGCAGAATGGTGCGGTCATATCCTGGCTTGTTCACGAACCACAGCACAATGTCCAGGACCCGATGCCATCACGCCGGGTACAAAGCCAGCACTTTGTAAACTGACCTACTGTAACAGACGAAAAAGCCAATTTTTCTTTTTCCGCTTCCTCGAGTAAACACATCATTTCACAGCTATTCTAGTTGCAACCCTGCACGTCTGTCTGTGATGCCCCCCCCTTCCCGTCTCCCGAACTGGGTCTGGTCTACCAGGCCACGGTGCCTTGACAAGGTGTTCTGGATCAGACCGAGTGATCGGACCCTGGTGGATTAACGCAGGCCTGATACCGGATCCGCTCCGGTGGGTAGATACAGAAACAGGAGCGGGAGAAAGATTGTCAACCCCAACCGGTCCGGGTCTGAAGGTTTTCCGGGCAGTGGACATTAACCAGAGGCCTCGAGCTCAGGACTCCGAAGCAGAAACACTATCCAGCCCTGTGATCTCCAGACCTCTCTTTCTCCCTCCATCAGCCCACCTCTCCATCTATCAAGCTTTCGCTCACTTGCACTCTCTCTCCCTCTTTCTGCACCAGACATTGCTTGCTGTAGTGTGTCTGGATTAGCGTTCGCAAGGCATTGTTTTTGTCCTCCATCATACCTCCACGTTGACATTCGAGGCTGGAGGCGGTCATTGTTCTTCTTAAAGCGTGCACTTTGATCATGAAGAGAACATCAATACAGTTGGTATTACTGAATTGTAAAGGATTGTTGAGAGGTCTCCAAGGTGTCTGACCCTTAACCCTCAACGGTGATCCTTCGCAGTGGTTGGAGCGCTTGTCTGAGGAAGATGAAGATGGATGTTATGTTTTGGTTCCAGTCCATCCTCGTTGGAATTTCTTCATATCAATTTCTTACACCGTGTTAGTGTTTTTCCTCACTTTCTCTCTCCTGTGTGTATTTTAGGCCCGCGGGGTATTTCTGGAAGCAAACACAACTTAGTCGGAGGCCTCTGTAGAGACAGGACACACACTGCTCCTTTTGTAGCATATTTTTTTTTTTTTTTTTTTTTTTTTTTAAAGCTTTCTTTGAAGGGGCACTTTCTTTCTTTTTTTCTCACCCCCCCCTTCAGCAACCCCCCCCCCCCCCCTTAATTTGTAAGCATTTTGATCCCGACTCTTCAGCCTTATTTTGCACCACATTTCTCATCGGAGAAGCTTCAGAATCCCAGGCTTTAATTCGGTGGTGTGTCCAGGAGTCGTACTCTGGTTTGAGCGAAGCCCTCCTTGGCTGTAGCACACTGTCTCTCACTGTGTGTTTAAAATTGTTTTTTAAGGCCAGGCCACTTCTCCCGTTTGCCAGGAGCACCGCTGCCTCACCAAAGGGGACAGGGAACGCGCTATGCACAAAGCTGGGTAATGACTTTAAAATACATCACTGCGTCATGGACAGGCACTTGGAACGTGTCCCGAACTGTAAATTTAAAAAAAGAGCATTTCAATCTCGCGTTCGCTCAGCGAGCGGAGGAGAAATTCCACAGTAACTAAGTAAGTCGAGGTGGTGGAGCAGCAACTACCTAAGCAGATGTCACTAGGACTGTGGTATGTTGGAGCGCCGAAGACACTGGCAACCTCTCTCCTTTATTTCATCTGTTTTCTTACAAAGATCATCAGGACAGATGAAGTAACCGGAGCTGCCTGCCGGGCTTTTTTTATTTTATTTGTTTTACAGCTTTCTTCTGTAGAAGAACAGACTGAGGAGTCGGGAGCGCGGGGCGGAGTCGCTGGGACTTCTTGAACAGTGGATAGTCAAATATGACGTGGCTGCGTGAAATGAACCAGATGAGGATGAAAATGTCCAGGAATTGCCCTAGAGTGGCTCTCTTAAATTTGATGGCATGAAACACAGAATGCATCAGTTTAACAGTGGAGTCCACGACAGCTGAACTCCAAGCGTGTACTTATTTTTATGTCCGTCCTTAGCCTTATCGCTACTCTCGTGCAAGTTCCCGCGCCTGAGCGGGCCATTGCAAAGCCGCTTTACAGCGTGCTCTCTCCAAAGCCGTTTGTCTAACTTCACATCCCGTCTGGGGTCCTCAAGCCGCAGCTCTACAGCCGAGCCGAGCGGCCATCCGTCTCCCTTTGGGCCTTCAGCAGATTACCTCCGCGACGCGCCTAATGCACCGTGTTTTATAGCCGAGTAATGTTCGGCTTTGCGCAGGGATTTGAATCTCCAAGCTGACCTTGAAACGTGGCCGCTCTGTTGGCCGAGACGCAGTCCTAACGGGTCGTGATTTACTGTGTGGATAAGTCGAGCTGAGAAAGACTGCGCGGGTTTAAGGCCAACAGTTGGGCTGCAGTTCTGACGGGCAGAGGGGGGGCCGTGCTTATTCGAAGACATTTAACACGTAGTTATGTCACATTTTTCTCAACAGAAAGTCCTAAAAGTGCCGTTGGAACGCTGACATACGTGTTATGTTGTAAATGACATCATGGACTCTGGTGGATATCAAAGACAGATGACAGACAAAGATTAAAATGAACTTATCTACACACTTTTTGTGAATCAGAACTTAAATCTACAACAGTTGATCAATTAACAGAATATTTATCAATAATTGAATTAATCACAAAAAGTCAAAATTCTCTGATCTTAGCTAATAAATGTAAATATTCTCTGGTGTGTTTATCCCATCTTTGAATTTTAGACAAAACAAGATGTTAGAGGAAAAAACACTGATCACCATTTTTCAACATTTTATGACATTTTATAAACCAAACAACTAATCGAATGATCGAGAAAATAATCCACAGATTAATCAAATGTCATTAGACGGGAAATATCACATCCTCTGATGTTCATCTGACAGTAGAGCTGCTACTGTAGAGTGACATCTAGTTTGTGTAGTGAGGAGGAAATACCATGTCTAACAATACCAAAACAGATGTTTTAATTGCACACAACATCTGCAGCTGCTCACAATGTGACAGCAAACAAACTGCTTTTCTTTCTTGTCTCTGTCCTACTGAGTCATTCTCTGTCGCAAATTGACTTGGCTGTGTGTCTGTGTGTGTGTGTGTGTGTGTGTGTGTGTGTGTGTGTGTGTGTGTGTCTGTGTGCGCGGGCGATTTGGCCCTTCACACACCGCGTTGGCCCAGGGGCTTCTCTGTCACTCTCTCCCCAGGCCGGAGGGCCTTCTGTTCCACCATCGCACTGGAATGCTTTGTGGGACATCCAGCTGGAGGCCCCAGGGCCGGGGGCCCAGCTATCAGTCAGACCCGTGGCCGAGCTCCCCTCCACCAGGCCAGGGGCCGAGGAGAGACGAGTCGTCCCTGTCTGTCGTTCTCTGATGAGACGAGACAGCAGCCTGTAGGCTGTCAACACATTCCTACACGGCTGCTCTTAAAGCTCAAAAAACCCTGGATTGATTCCACCCTCTCCTCCACATGTCAGTTTCTGGAGCGATGAAGTGTTTCTCTGCGTGTAAATGAGCAAACACGAGAGCTGGGCCTACTTTCCATTTTAGCCTGGTCTCCAGAGATGCAGTTTTGTCTCTCAACATTGTGCAGTCGCCGCGCCGCGTTGAGGCTGATAAGGAAATGTTTAGCCAATTTAGCCGGGCTGTTGAAATGATTTGGAATCCCTACCAGGCCACTGGGGCGTATCAAATGCACGGTGGAAAGCTGGAGTGTTTGTACAGTGGCTGAGCGAGCGCCGATACTTAGAAGCCCTCTGTCGCGCTCAGTCCTGTGGGAAAGAGCCGCTTTTGCCGCGATTCGCCCGCCTTTGTGATGTACTGCGAGCGTGCGAGAGTCCGACATGGTGGGGATGGAGGCTGTGCATGTTTTCCGTACATGTGTGCTTGTAGTGGTGCACATGGGGTTCTGTGTGCACACTTTGCTCACATGGTGTGTTTGCTCTGAGAGGCCTCGCCGTGGCCTCTGCAGCCCGACATTGACCTCCTTCCTCTCGCTCTCTCTTACCGATTAACACAATCTGTCCTTTCAGATCCACGAACAGCTGCAGCTCTACGAAGAGAGCAAACCAGTCCCCGTCCTGGAGAGCGCTGCAGCTCTGGCCCATGAAGTAAGTTCTTGTTTTTGTTTTTTTGAAGGAAGGCTTCCATTTATTTGGTTGCACATACCGATGGGTGACAAATAAAAGGGGAAAAAATACCAACACAAAGTCTTGGTCTCTGGGACTCTACTGGAGGGATGAACATCATTCCAGAAGAAAAAAACATCTTTAGGTGTTGAATTCGGTTGAAGTTTCAGGGTTTACCAACTTTTAAAATTGGGGGCAATGCCGGCAACCAGGCATCAACTTTTGGTTGCCAAAACTAAAAATGTGGTTGCCATTTTTAGTCACCTTTTTAGTACAAGTAATACATTATTTTTCTCTGCAGTTATATGAAAGCTTTAAAATGAAAATGTGATAGAAAAGAATAAAAGCTTTTGTTTTTTTAGCTGATGATTCACAGAATTTGAATCTTAAGTTAACATGTCCACCTTCAATTCCTGGTATAGCAGTAAAATAGCAGTCGTGCAGCTGTCGTCATGTTCTTCACAGATCCCTCAAAATGAATCCAGCAAGTCGCTGGTTGCTGGTTCATCCGTTCTTTCGCGTCCAAATTTAGATTTTCTGGAAGTTAGGGCCACCACAGATCCATTGGCCCTTCAGCATTGAAGTCTTGGATTGTGGGTCCCTCAAGTGACACCAACATCAGCTTGTCCATCATCTCTACTTTCAAAGGTGGCCTTCAGTGTGTCTTGATTAGACAGCTGAATCCCCTCCCCCGCACATTTTGGTGTTTGCTATATCTATTATCTCTATTTGTTACATTTTTAAAACAGGCGGCATCCTTTAGGTCTGATAAGTGAAGCCAATGCGGAAGTGCCCTAAACTAGCTTTCTCTCTACTGGCCATCAGGGGGCGACTCCTCTGGTTGCAAAAATAAGTAGGATTGTATAGAAGTCTATGAGAAAATGACTCTATTTCACACTTGATTTATTACCACACTAAACATTGAGAACATGAGTTTATAGTCTGAATTGCTAGTTTCAAGTCTTCTTCAATACAGCATGAAGTTCATTTAGTAAATGATGGTCAATTTAGAGCCAAATAGACCATAAAGCAGAGTATGCTTTAGGGCGGGGCTACAAAGTGAGTTGTCTGTATTTTAGTCTTACAAATGTAACCCTTTCCCAGTGTGTTTACAGTTCATGATAGTTAATTATAACATTTTTGGTCACCTAAAAATGTCTTATACGGTGTTGAACTTAGCTCCACCCTCTCGTGCCACTTCTGGTTTCAAAAATCCAAGATGGCGACGGCTAAAATGCCTGAACTCAACGCTTCAAAACAGTAGTCCACAAATCAATGGGATATGTCACGGTGTCGACCTCCACTTCTTATATACAGTCTATAGTTGTGGTCACCCTGACAGCCCCTATTGTTGAGCTTTAACTGTGTCCCATGTTTATTCTTATCAAACTGGTCTCTAGGACGCCACATATTCGTTATGTTCCTCTATTCCTTTAATTGAGGATTTTACTTTAATTTATCACCCACCTACACTCACATTATGTCCCGTCTTGCATGGCCTGTCTAACCGTTTGTGTTTGAAAACCAAGTAAATGTGATCTGCTTATAACCAAATCCAGAGAGACTGCGTAAGTAGAAAGGCAGTTTGTCTTGTTGTTTGTCTCATAGATGTCATGCAGATTACACTTCAGCTCACAAGTGCATCTTTCCCGGTGGCGTGCAGTAGCCTTGGCAGTGTTCTCTATCTCCATCTCCTCTTACCCTCGAGCGAACTGCGACCTGTCGTCTTCTAGACTCTCTCACTGTTGCAATAACACAACACCGCCCCTCCTCTGCACCCAACCGCCCACTCATTATTGCCCAAACATCAAGACCACAAAAAAATCGAAAATCCGCTACTGCGAGGAGAGACCGATGATCTTCCTGGGCCAGAAACCCGGATGGGAAGGCCGATGATGGATGGGCCCGCGTGACAGCAGCAGACAGACTACAGATGATCGTGGAGTTGCATCATATAAACATAAGTCTGGGGAAAAAGAAGCAGGAGCATCACTCATGGCGTGCGGTCCCTCTTCATTAGTTAACCTGTTAATGAGAAGTCAGCACAGAGACAATAATGGGACTTTCTTTCCGTTGGCCCCGCTGCTCGTCGTCAAGCTGTGAAAGATATTTAGTCTGATTTATTGAGTAAACGTCCGGTGTCCCGGCATTTGTTACAGTGTTGTTCATCTGCAATATTTATTGAAACCCAAATGTGCACATAAGCATGCAAGTGCCACACACACACACACACACACACCTGTGTAAACCCAAGAACCAGCCTGGCACGGGGAACGGAGAGGAGGAAAAGCCCTTTTTACTGGTGTGTGTGTGTGTGTGTGGGTTTGTTTGAAATCCCCAGCTCTGTTTATTGTAATCAAAGTGCCTCCGACTGTTCCACCCCTTCCAGAGAGCCGGCGGCCATACATCATCAGCTAATTAGTACCGAGTCAAGGGGAGAGACGAGGGAAAAGAGGGGCTGACGTTTGTACAGTCGGTGAGGCGGAGGGAGTCCAGAGTGTCCCGAGGCCGTCACGAAATAGAGAGGCCGCCTTGTGGTCCAGAGCGGTTTTCCTGACCGTGTGGGCCGCAAGTGTCGGCGGAGGAGCCAGGACGTTCCATCTCCTGAAGGGTTCACACGTGCCAATACAGATCCCGGGAGTCCCAAACCACCCAGGACCCTTAACCCAAACCAGGATGGCCTATCTTGAATCTTTAGGCCCCCAAATAGACTTTTTATTGCTGCTTTTCTTTCTGTTCCTACCCCTGCTGTCAGTCCCGGCCAACCACAGAACACCAGAACAAGAATTCCACCAGATTCCGACAAAGCTTGAAGGATCGCTTCTGTTTCTCTTTCCTTGGTCTTTGCCTCCCCAGGTTGTGGCACGAGGCCACAGGCTGCCCAAGAGACCCCCCCCCTCAACTATCGGCCTCCATCTCCCCTCCCTCTTACAGATCGTCTCTCTCATTCTTTTTGTCAAATTACAGACTTTCAAATTCACGCTTCCTCGCGAATGCCCCGCAAAGCGTCTCCTCGGGATTATCAGGTATCGGAATAAATCCCAGAGATGGTGTATCAAAGCGTCTAGCAGCACACCGCAGTCCTGAGTCCCCCCCTTTCCCTCGGCTGGTCAGGAAAAAAGAAAAAAGAAGTGTATTTTTAAAGCGGATTGTTTTTCACTCGTGTCACCGCTCCAAATGAACGCCATTGAAGTGGTGGCTGAGGGCTGAAGTGCAACGGGAGAGATCTACATTGAGATGAAATTCATTTCGGGCTCGGGTTTCGGGTAATGGAGGCTTAATTTATTGCCTCACATAAAACAACACTTCTGCCTCCGGGCTGCACTGTCTAGCACGCACAGCAGGTGACTGCCGCTGCTCCAACAAACGAGCACCGCTGCCCGGAACACGATCGATACCGGGCCCGGGGACTAGGCAGTGTATCACGCACGCATAAAGACACGTGTTTTATGGACGTACATGCACATTTATTACCGCACACCCGGTTTCTCTCCAGCCCTCATTAAGACTGAAATAGAAGCCGCGTTGTGGAATGTGAGGAACAGCGTTGCATTAATCAAAAGGGGCAAAATCAGCCTCGCACGTGAACCAGCTCTGTCCATCCAATCGGGCTCCATCAGCCCCGTCGGAAAAAATAAATGCTCAGCACGCCACTTCAACAGTAAGCTCAGTGCCAGCCTCGTTCCCGATCCGCGTCCATCGCTTGAACCTTGACTGCACGTCCTGGTGGCTGACCTGTATCCTCAAATACTCCTTTTCCTTCTCTGGCCAACTTCCAAATATCTTTATTCTCACCCGTATCCCTGCTGTTGCTCGGGGAGACCACTGGGTGCCATCAGAGGGCACTGGTCCTCAGTGCACACCTACAACTGGTAATGGCACAGAGACAGACAGACTCAGAGAGATGGGGGGGGGGGGGCTTCACCAATGTCAGTTTCTTAGATTATGGTAATTATAGCTCCACAGGCCTTCGGTAGGTCCAGCATGTACTTGGTAGAACAGCTTTCTCCTATTTGTTCGGCCTGATTAGGGAATAACCTTCATCACCCACTATCTCCTAATGATTTAGTCTCCCTGAAACATTTGTTCTGGCCGACACTGATGGGATAACTGGTAACATTGCTGTTGCTCTTGCAAAATTGTGAAGAGAACAATAAAGGCGTTACTTTCTTTAGATCGACCCGGTTAGTGCACCACTGTAAATGACTCTTCCTTACATTCTTTATCTACTTTGAAGTGCTAACAGCAGTGTGACCGGACCTCTGCAGAAAGGCCTCGACATTGTTAGATGTAATCAGCTGACACTTCTTTATTGGAACAAAAATGCTGACTCGACTTTCTCTTTTGTTGGGGGACAATATATCGGCCACTGACTTCCGTAATATAAAGGTCAGTTGTTACCTGTTATACACCCATAAAAGCATGCAGAGGTGTTTAGATGGCTGACTGAAGCCATTTGCAGCTTTTGTTTCTTCCGGTTTAACTCCATTTTCTTCTTATCGATCACATTTTTATAAAGAGACTCTTTACTTTCCACACAGCTTGAGAAAGCTCGAGCTGTAAATAAGCTCCCCCTGCGTGTCATTAACGATGGTTACAATACGGTAAGTTATGTAATTGCACCTTAAATAGTTCCACTGATGTACTTCATGTATTTCAATAATAACCCCCAAAAATACTTTTGGATTGAAGTCACTTTTAGAACCATTTTTTTTTTTTTTCTCTTTCGAAATTAGATTATTTGCATGAGAGAAATTCATCTATTCATTACTTCCTATTTAATTACATTTTTCTAAGAGTGTTAAATCCAGTATTTAGACCGTGGCACTTTAAAACTTTTATTGAAATGTATAAATAAAAAAAATAAATAAAAGGAAAACACCGTGTGTGTGCATGACTTCATAAATGCAGGTTAAACGCCTACGGTAGTCAACCGATGGCAAAGGTGCATTTTATCCATCATATGAAATAGAAAGGTTGGGATCCGTTATTTCTAAATAAAAGGTTAGTAGCTTTAATATGTTTAAATAAAAGGCGCTTTGACATAAGGTCAGCGTGATGTATCGGCGGCGATACATCAAAGTGGCGAGGCCGTAGCCGCTCCGGGTCAACAGACAGCTGTAAACTGACATGCTGGGATCAAACTTATCTAAACAGAGCAGTGCCTGCCGTGACATTTAACAAATGAAATAAACACGGTCTCAAAGGAGGCCGCCATCATTCCCCGTGAGGGTCTGAGGATGGAAAGTGTGACTCTTAACATGGAAGCATGAAAGGCAGAGAGCCGAGCGTGTTGTCAAACATGTCCCGTCCGTCCTCCTCTCTGAGTAATGGGACAAGGTGCTTTAATGACACGGTATGAGAGACTGGAGATTTACAGCTCTCCCTCTGTCTTTGTCTCCCCTCCCTTTGCTGTCTGCCGGCGAGTTGATGGATGGCGGCGTATCAGATCGAGAGATGTCCCCCCCCCCCCCCACGCTAAAGACCCTGACCCCGATTGTCCCCACTCCTCCCTTTTCTCACACTTCCTCCGACCTTACATACTCCCAGACTCCCTTATTTTGTATATTTGAGAAAGTGAAGTAATGCAGGGTTGACCGAGGTTCAGCTAGAGGAACCTTGACCGGCGTGACTATTCATTAGCGCTGTCTCTCTCCCCTCGGGTGGTGGTGTGGGGGGGTCAAAGCTAATGGAAATAATGAAAAGAGACCCCTCCTGTTTTTTGGGGGTAAAGTGACATAGCGTCCTCCCTAACCTCGCGCTAACCCTCGGGGCCTTTCCCTCCACCTCACCTCTGTGGCTTTATTCTCGCAGCGCGGGGGTCGTTCGTCAAACAAACTGGAGCTTTCTCCCCAACCTCTGTCATCGTCCGCCTGAAAGCAGAACGCCCCCCCCCCCCCCCCAGCACCAAAGTGATCCATGTGTGTCTTCACGCTTCCTTGCTGCACTGCTTCATGCAGTGCTTCGTTTTAACGTACATGTACACAAGCAGTGTTGATCGCCCTGTAGCATTTTCCTGCTTTTACTAATGTTTGTTTTATTACATTTTCATCCACTAAGAGGTGATTTGTAGCTGTAAAGTCTCTTGCTTATTGGAATAGATTCTTACACTTATCTCCCAACTGTTTTATGATTTACGGATGTTTTTTTTAAATTTAATTTAATTTAATTTTTTTATTGTTATTAAAAGTACTTTTTTTGTCTCAGGGACATCGTCTATCCTTTAACCCCCAATTTGGATCAAGAAAAAGGGGCCATGGTGGTGCGCAACAATACATTATTCATTCAGTCTTGTTTGTATTTTCCCAAAATTAAATATAATACCAAATTTATTACTGTTATTTATTAAAATGATGATAAACATGTACTGAGAGTTTCATTTTTCATTTAATTAGGATGACAACTAAAGATTACTTATTGTCAGTTCATCTATATTATTTCCTCCATTAATTGCTTATACTATAAAATATAATATACATCATACAATCTACATCTCTTTCATCTTAAAATATTGCTGCTTGTTAATGCAGAAGTGAGTGCAAAGTGCACCAAACGGAAATATAAAGACACAGATTGCTTTGATGTCTTCATGTTTAAAACACACACACAACATCATTTACAGCACAGGAAGTGTGTGTGTGCGTGCGTGCATGTGTGTGTGAGATCGCCGTTAGCTCTCCCTTCACACCCCAGCCCTGCGAGCTCCACTGGCCCTCTTTGCGCAGCAGACAGCCCCCGATCCCCCAGCCTTTTCGGCACAAGCAGGGCTTTGTGCGCGTCAGGCTCGCCTCTCCGCTCCGCTCCACAGTCCAGGAGGATCGTCGATAAATCAGAGCGCGTGGCCCGGGGCTTTTTTTTTTTTGGAAAGCTCCGAGTCGCTTCGTGTCGGAGCTCCCAGACATTCATCATCACAAGCGCAGCAGTCCAGCGCGGTCCTGCCACTCAGGAGACGCTCTCACAGCTCCCATTGTCTCTGAAAAATGATCCCACCGAAGTTGTAAATTGGATCGAGAGACGAATGGCAACAAGTGCGAACTTTAGGGCCCTGTCACGAGCTGTGGCCCTTGCCTTCCATTAAGATGCACCTAATTTAGCACAGTATCATCTCTCCCGTCTGATGGGCCGGTACCCTTGAGCATACAACTGTACTTATTACACATGCTTTGGAGCTGTGGTTCCAAAGCTTTTTTTTTTTTATTCCTACACATAGTATAATACTAATACTTTATCTGACACTCTGCACAAATACCGGGTTTTAAAATAATATTTTGGACTGCGTGCAAGTCAAATGTATCTTTTTAAAGAGGTTTATACACAGACTTTTGTATAAATTATCCAGTAAGTGTCTTATTATTATTAATATAATTATACATAAATATCATTTTGACAACCTCAGATGAGACAAACTCTGTTCTTTGGTCCCCATTGAGGGGGGGCCCGGACCACAGGTTGGGAACTACTGGTAATAGTAGTTTCTATTATATTTATCTCTGCTGGTCATCACTTTTTGAACACAAGATAATGGGATTATTTAGCTTCCTATCAGGGTGTTTAATTGCCTTCCTTGATATATCATATTGTAAATGTATTTGTGTCTTCTCCCCTGTAGCTGTCCGAGGAGCTGGAGGGGAAATCCGCCAACGGGGAAATCAAAGAGCTTCTCAAACTGCTGGCCTCCCCCCACGTGAAGGTGAGTTTGGCTCCCGGTCAGTTCATTACAGCCTTTATTCATTTCAGCATTCAGCGACTGTTAAGAAAGCACAAGCCCTCTTTTGTGGAGGAGCACAGTATTGTCTTAAAAAAAAAACACAATCTTTGGCTCGTATTCTCACCGATGTCATCACACAAACGGCGCGTGTCACTCGTTTGTGCACTCAAAATAGTTTGGCACTTCGATCCGGCCCTAGTCTCGTCTTCACGGCTGCCGGGCCCCGCCGGTCTCTTTATCCAGACACAGGCGGCTACAAAAACGGATTTACACATTCTTATTTTTAAATGCGTGACTTTGGCCGTCCGTCAGGCTCCCGCAGGTGTCTGAGCCAGACGGCGGGGATGGAGGGAGAGCTGGACGGGACTCCTTTCTTTAATGCGCTGTCGTCATGCTTATTTGGGCTCTGCCAGAAACAACAGCTCAGTATGAAGTCCTCTCCCAACACACACACACACACACACACACACACACACACACACACACTTACAGTACATTCACATATTCAATACCTCTCAGTGTCAAGGGTTGTGAAAAGACGAGGGGGTTCCCAAAAGGATCAGGCTCACAAGTCAGATCAACATATGGGTTTTTGAACGTCTGTGCTAGTGATGTCATGATTAATCTCTCAAAATGAAAACAATACAGTTATACGCATATAGAGAGACTGACCGGCAAGGCGTGACAACGAGTTCATCACCACTTCACCAGCAATGCACACACACCATCCCACGTAGACACACGATGGCGGACACACGCACTCCAAACACACGCTCACGCAGCCACTGTCCCGAAGACAAACGGTCCCAATCCATCACAGCCCCGGCTCTCCTACTTTGCTACGTAGGGACGTCGGGGTCTCTTTCGTCTCTGTCAACCCCCGAGGTGAAATGCGGCGGCAAACGAGCGCCACGCAAGCGTGCCTGTGTGAGAGATCTGCGCGTTTTTTTTAATATTTCGATTGCGCTTACAGCGGAGGTATTTGGCGTGGCCGGGGTCAATCCATCAAAGCGCGGAACTCGCGAAGAAGTCATCGATCTTAAACGCTCGACAACTTCATCCGCCGAGGTGAAGGCAGCAGATGGAACTTTGGGCCAGCTACACATCGGCCAATATCATGATAGTTTAAATCGTTAAAAATACATTTCTTTTCCTCTGAGAGAGAAGTGTGCATCAACTTAAAGCTTGTGTTTATAGTTTTTAGCTGACCGACACTGCTAGCTCACCTAGCGCCACTGAGCTCGCTAACGTCACAGTTGGCGTAGTTCAGCAGAAAGAAAATAGTTCCTGCATGAATCTGCACACAGCGTGTCTGTGGATTATCTCGAGTAACTGGGTCAGGATTTCTGGAAAGGGACGTTGCTTTTGAGTTTGTCAAATTTATTTTTGCCATCTAGTCCCATTATATTGGAGAGAAGGCAGACGTCTCTACGGTCAATAGCTTTAAAAGTAGGAAACTCACGGCAAACCGATCTAGATTGATAGATAAAGGTAAGAGGAAAAATATGGATTTTTGATTTTGGGGTGACCTGTCCCTTTAAGAATGGTTTGTTAGAGTGTCCCATCTCCTCTAAATGTGATGGATTCTGATGTTTTCAGATCTGTTGACTAATTCTAATAAGAACTTAAGTATGGCTTTGTTTCACGCATCACATTGCTGTGAGACTATTGAAAACCGTACGCAAACAGAATGGGAATCTGTCCGTCAAAACACCAACGAAAGCTGGAGTCACAATCCGCGGATCCCCAAGCTTCAGTGTGTCCGGTTTAGATCGACAGCACCCGTACCCATCAAGTTGAGCGATTGACATCTGCATGCGTTCCCACACAGTCTCTCTACCGCTCAACTTTTCCGGGCCTCAAACACTGCTCGTTGGAACGCTCGGTCAACAATAGATCAGTTTCAGCACCTCTGTTCAGAGGGTTAGGGCTTCGACTGCAACATGCTGACGTGTCGGAGGCTTCTTGGCGGTTTGTCTGACATTGCGTCTCAAACTCTTATAGGCAGCATGTGTGCTTCGGGAATAAAGTATTGAAAGATCTCGTTCTGTCTCCATCTGCCCTCCAGGGCACTTGATACCGTACCAGCCAGCCCCGGTGTAAATCACAGGGCCCTGGGTGTAAAACACAAGCAGATGGCCGCTGCCTCTGAATGGCGTCTCTGTGCGATAGTAACTGTATCACTCTTAATTATGGCTGAAATGATCCATTCCTAGGGCGGGGATATAAATCAGGCTCTTTAAAAACTCTCCCCTCTCTCTTTCTCCTCCACGCTCTTCCTCGCCTCAAACATTCTCTTTTTTTTTTTTTTTACGATTTGCACATGAAAAAACAACTTTCAGCCGTATTAGCCCCCCCAGTCAGACTAATATTGACAGTGATGAAAGTGCCAATTATGACGGCCGGCTGTTGCCGCGTGTGTGTGTGTGTGTGTGTGTGTGTGTGTGTGTACATGCAGGCAGTGTTTGACTCGAGGGCGGTGCAGCGGGCCTGAGGTTCAAGGCTCAGGGAGGGGGGGGCGGCGTGGGTGTCAAATCCCGGCTGGGCCCATAGAATCATCTCCCGAGGCAGGACACACACGGCAGAGTCCTCCCCGCCTGGGCAGAGTGGTTACCCCCGCACCGATCCAGCACCGCCAGCTGAAAAACGAGTGGGCCAGTGACCGGGGAAGGGGCGGCTCTTTTAATGAGAGGCCAATGCCAGGAATGTACAGGCAGGTTTATTTAGTCAAGCTCTGTGATCTGTTTTTCTAGGATCCCTATTATGCCTAATGAACACAAACACACGAAACCGAGAAGAGGACGGGACGCCTGGAAAACAAGGGTGGCTTCGCTTCCCCTTCATCTTCCTTCCCCCCCCCGGGCTGCGGGCTCTATACGTGGCTACGACTCCAGATTTGATTAGGCGGCTAATCTGCCAATGCCGAGGCATGACGATACCCACCGACTCGTATCAGCCCAGGAAGAGAGCCCTCCACACAGAGACCTCTGTGTGTAAAACATTTGTACCTGCTCGCATGTCAACGGTCAGCAGCCAGGGCCGCGTAACCATGTGCTATCTATTAGCATGCAGCTGTTCTTGCTACTTCCAAGAGAGTTTTTACAAGGAATTAGCTGTGGCTCTGTTACGGGTTGTGAGGCACGGCCGTAGGGGAGACTGTGCAATGCCAGACTCGAAGAAGTGCCATCGATGAGAGGACTATGAACGGGTCAGGATGTTAGGCCTGATGGATAGAGTTCAGAGGAAACTGCAACTGGCAGGTTACTGGAGGAACGGTGGAGGTGAGTGTGAGGAAATGTTTAGGGTTACTCTTAACTTTGTTAGCTCTGTTTTGTGATATTAAAGTTACTACTGCGACAGCCACGTTTTAATCTGAAACACATTTGTGTTCAGTGATTAAACATCGAGCCTATAGATGATCAGAATATTAGGGAAAGATGCGTGTTTTAATAACCCGAAGCCCAAGTTGACATGTTCACATTCCTTATTTGTTCCACCAAGAAGTCCATAATCCAGCGCTTTTCAGTTTGCTTCGATATAAATCAGAGAAAAGCAGAAAACCATTTTGCAGGAAGAGAAAATAAGAGTTGTTGATTAAATGACAAATGATTCCAGTACACCTCCAGTCTCATTCCAGGCTCCAGTGCTGCACAGCGTCAGCAAAACACTGTATAGTTCTGCTCCTCACCAGGACCTCATGGGCGTCCCTCCCCCGCTGAGAGGCTGACGGACGCCTGGCTGACCCGCACGTACTAGGTACTATCGTAGAGCTCTGGGTGGCCACCGATTGCTACAATATGTGACAACAGGAGAATCTCAACAGAGTCTTTTGCAACACAGTTTCACGCCAATTATTGAATATTTTTCAACTGCAAAGATGCAAATGTCCTGGAAATTTGCACCAACCTGTGCATATTTGTGCATTTGCATTGTATGTAATCGCGCGGGAAGTGTGCTTTGCGTTTGGTGTGAACACACTATTACAACGCAACATCAATGACGTCATCACTACAATGCAACACTGCAACTGCGGTGCAGAGAACACAATATGTAGTGCGTTATATATCGAGCACAGGTTCGGGATCCCATTCAGTTTGTTTTTTATTTTTTTTTCGACGTCATCTGCAAACAGTTTTGGTTTCCTGCGCTCCAAGAGAATATTTTAATATTATAATGACAGCATCCACAGACATACAAAGACAACACAGAGTGTGTGTTTATGTACGGTGCAGATGAAAGCCAGGAACGCAATGTCAGCCCTGTTCTGAGAAATGAACCAACTGATGCCGGGAACGTTTTGGGGGAAAACAAAAAAAATACATGAAAGATAAAACTGAAGACGCGCAAACAACAAGAAGAAGAGTGAGAGGATTAATGGCATTTGAGAGAAGTTTGGACAGGAGGACCAAGACAACAAGAGAAATTCAGGGAGAAGGAGACAAAAATGGAACATGTTCTTCTGGGAACATCAGTCAATTTGTTTTTCCACTTTGTCTGGTCTGTAGGATCATTTTGAGTCGGAACCTTTTGTGGGTGAAAGTTGAAAGTAAAATTCTGCCTTTATTACAGACTGAACAGTTAACCCATAGGCCCATGAGTACAGTGTTATTAATGCAGACCAGAATAATTACTAATCCACAAGAAAGTCCCATGTACTAAACCGCCCTTTAAGGTCAGGACGAAGGGAATTAATAGACTCACAAGTGTCCAAGACCAAGTGTCCCCCGTGTGTGCGTTGGTCAGCGTGTCTCCCTGTGGGTCCTGGCCACAGAGCTCCAGTTGCGTCTCCTCCTCTCATCTGCTCCCAGTTAGCAACATCTTGAGCGCTGTACTGCAGCATGCTCCCATGTCATAAAACACACTGCTCCTCTTCTCTCGCTCCCTCTCTCTCTCTCTCTCTTCATACTGTTGTCTGGCACATGGGGTGGAAGATGTTTTTCTCACTTTTCTCTCCCCCCTCCCCTCCTCCCTCTCCTCAACCACGGAAAAAGCAGCACGCGTCCAGCTGCGTCTCGGTGCGGACACGGAGTCGTTAAATAGTTTGAGAAATGAAGGTCTCAATGGCATCATTCTCGTCTGCTCGACATCTCTTTTTTATTTTTTTGTTTTCTTGTATGTCTGCTCGTGAACACGTGAAATATCTGAGGCCGCTGAGAACTTCATTACTTTGAGGCTGCTGCCGAACCGTGTGGAACATCGCTTCTACGAGTGTCCGCCAACTTCGGCACTGAAGGCGGTTGGTTGGCCATGGTTGCCCCCCTCTCCCCAACACACACACCCCTTCACTCGCGTTCCCTGGTTGCCTTTAATCAGAGAGACGTATGGAGGGAGAGTGTGGGCCTAATGACCATTAACGCATGTAGCTACAACCTCTGGCTCTGAACGCGTTCGAATCCATCACCCAGCGCTTGAGGGAGACACCCCGATCCATAACCGTCCTCCCTGCGTGTTCTCTGTCCTGCTCAAAGAAAGAAACCATAGATTGAACCCTTAATAGCATGTATTGCTACACTTTATTTGGCTAATTAGACCGAGGTAAAGCCGAGGACTTTTTTTCGTCTTGACTGATGACCCTTGCCTTTTGTTTTTTTCCCTCCCATCCACCCCTCTATCCCTCTCCTTCCTCCAGAGCCTCCTGTCTGTCCACGACACTATCGCCCAGAAGAGTTACGACCCCGAACTACCTCCGCTGCCTGATGACATCGACGACAACGAGGATTCCGTGAAGATCATAAGACTGGTGAAAAACAAGGAACCTCTCGTGAGTAGCGTTGGCAGTGGTCTTGAGAAATTATGTGGTTGGATTCGTACATGGCGGTTTCCAGCAGCTCCCACAGCTTTGAAAGATGGTTTTGGGAAGCTAACGGGTCATAAAAAATGGTGCGCCCCCAGTGTCCTGAGTGTCAAGGCCCCGACCGTGGGCTGCAACATTCCAGAGACGTTTTGGTTACGTGTTGTTCCCCGATGCATGTCTCCAACATAACGGCATCATCAGGTTCTTTGCTATTTATGTTCAACATCTTAATGCTGGGAAAATCCTGCTATCTAAGCTTTGTTTACTAATCCCCAACTTTCTGAACACCCAAACCAGCAAGTACCATACATGTTTTTTATCCGAGACACTTGTCTGTGGGAATCCAACCCACAACCTTGAAGTTGTAAGCGCACCAAAACCGACCACAATTGCCCAGCTCCTGGCCGCGGGTATTTTCAGCCAGTCTAGGCTCGGTGTCTGCGAACGGCTTCCTTTTTTTCTATCCTGGTCAACATCGCTCTCTCATTTTAACACGCATCTCACGTCCAGGCTCTTCAGATGGCGTCCCGGACGTCAACAACCAGTCGTCTGTCTCGGGGGGCCTCTTCTACGGTGGCGGCATCTTGGCCCGCATTCTCGCTCTCACTCCGCCCTTTGACCTGTGTGTGTGTGTGTCGTGCGACGGCTGCCATTTCTGCGCGTTCCCCCTGCTCTTCTCCACCAGTGTGGCACATTTGGGAATGGGCTTCCGGAACCCCGCAGAACCCAATTGGCGCCGGTTCTCCACACCTTTTGATTTTGTTCAGCTTTGCTGCGTGATTACTTTTATTGTTTCGCCATTGATGCGATTCCCTTGACTGACCTCAGCGCCCTGCGACGCATTAACACTCCGGTCCTCGGGCGGCCCGTCAAAGACCTCCATCTGTCATCGTAGCACTGTTGTTGTGTAGAGATGCCCCGCCCTGCTTTGATGGGCGCCGGACGTGCCCTGGCCCTCGGCCGCCTCTATTTTTCACTTTGTGGTTTTTCGCCCCGACCACCATCTTGGCTCCAGGCCGGCGCGCCCCTCACCACACCCCCGGGGGGGAAGGAGAACACACCTAAGCCATTTTTGGGCCCCTGCCTCGTTGCATGTCCCGCGGAGCTGCTGAGCGTAATAATGTGGCTTGTAGGAATTCTCCCTCTTGACACACATTGTCGCGGGCGCTTCCTGCTCCGGCCTCTCCCCGACTCTGATGTCAGATCACATTCCCTGAAACCATAATGTGATTTACACCCATACCCGGTCAGCTCTATCATCTAGCTGCTGTCCGTTACACGACCTGATTCTTTTCTGTCTCAGTGATTTGGCTCCTGAGAACATCTGAAGCGCACATTTACGACGTGTGATACCGTTACTGTACAATACTGAAGGTGTTATTTATGTTGAGTATATTTATGTAGTAATGCAAACGCTCAGTTTTAGTTTCTAGGTTAATGCTGCACACTTGTTATTGCGTGTTTCCAGTGTTCCTTTAGGGGTCAACACTAGGTCAGTTTTATAAATACCGCTCTAATTTAAAAGAGGTTGTATTTGATGTGGCTCTCCTAAACGCAATGTATCATCAGTATCACCGCAATATTGCAGCAGTGGCTGCTTAGTTTTCTACCAGTTGTGTTTCGTTCTGTTCACTCCCAGCAGGCTTTGATGCATAACAGGCTACAGAATTAGATTTATAGCAGGAAATCGAGTCATGATAACTCCCAACCTGCATTGGACAACACGTTCTATTCATAAAGGGAACAGCAACAGACACTAACCTTTCCGTTGCGACTGAGTACACAGAAAAACAGGATCAAACTATGCAACGGTATCTCGGAAGAAAGAGTCACCCCACTGCTGTTTTCTCCCAAGTATGTCTTAGCTGCCCTCTCGCTGCCCGGAGGACCCACAGGGCACTACCGCTGCCCACAATCTCCTGTGGCTATAATTTAGGCCTGGCTGTGGTGTGGACACAGTGGGATTCTTCTGCAGGGCATAGTTGTTCTGTGTGTTCATGAAAGAAAACAATGGGTGTTAAAAGGTTGCTATTTTGGCTGTAAGCCATGTCAGAAATGTCATGGGTGATGTTCTTTGGGCTCTCAGAAGAGGGCAACGTGAAGCCCTTAAGAAACTGCACTCTGGGGCAAGTCCTTGGGACCTTAGAGACCTCCATCATCCTATTTGCATCCACACACCTTTGGGTCAAGACTCTTCTCCGTCTTGTGACCTTCTGAAGAATTAATGGGCCCCGAGAGATAGAGCGAGCAAGACTTGAATCCGTCAAATGGTTCCTGTGGGAATGGAGAATAATGCTGTAGTAAGCGTACAGCTCCTACTATATACCTCTGTGTCGCTAAAGGCTCTTTCACACCAAATTTGTGCTCCTTAGTTTGTCAGTTTATTAACTTTTCACACCTCAGGTGCCAAAGTGAAACCTGTGGAACTTAACTTTTTCAACTCCACGGCAGCTCTCTCTTTCTCCTTATGTAAAGACATTACCTCCTTGATCTTTAACCTCCTCCACTGCAAAAAAAAAGAGAAAGAACTACAAAAAGTTTGGACAGCATTTTAGGCTAAAGTCGTAACTCAAGAAAGAAGCATGTGCACCAGCACTGCATCACTCAAATTACTGTGGCTGTTGTATTTGTTATTACGATTTTTAAACGCACAACATGAAATTGAAACAGCCCTTCGCTCCATGACACCACGCATAAATGTGCTGACATGTCGATGACATGCGTCAAAATCTTTGCACTATTTTGTGGAAATGGCCCCAATGGTCCTCACGTTACTTTGTCATCTGTGGAGGTGAAGTTACTGACCCTCTAACTCGGTAGTACGTTTAAAGGTCCTGCATCTACCTCTGGCCCCTGAAACAACTGTCATCCTGCACATCTTTAAAAAAGGTGAAACCGACCCTAATGAACGGTAAGATCGCACGTTAAGGAAACGGCCGGCGGGTCGGATGCTCGCGGTGAAGTCGCAGCCATTCCACCAACCAATAAAAAAAAAAAAAACTGTAATTGTGCCAGGGGTCCTCGCTCACTGCCGCATCAAATTGATTTGGATGTGCCCTTTAACTCGCAATTTCACATAATCAGCCTGCAATTCTCAAACTCGACATCATAACAACGCGGCCGTGCAATATCTAATTTCCTTTCCGTCTCTCCTTATTGTGCTCTCTTTTATTTTTTCCCCCGTCTGCCTTTGTCTCGTCCTGTACTGCTCTTGTTATTGTGGGGCTGTAGTTAGCCCTCTCCTTGTGACTCATCCATTAAGTTAATTGTGATTAGTTGAGTGGATTGTAGGCAGTAGCTCTGATTAATTGCTATCATTTCTCAAAGCGTGACTTCCTGCCACACTTCGGTGAAACAGTAAAAACTCCACAACTCCCTCTTCTTCTTCTTCTTCCTCCCCCTTTGTTCCCCCCCCCCCCCCCCCGCCCCAAAAATACTGGCGGATTTATAAGCCCAAGTGTCCGGACAATGAAATAATTGGGTTTGGAGAGCGTCATAAACATACAGCAACATCAGCCCAGCCGTGTCTTTTTATTTTTTTTTGATTGAAAGAATGTGTTATTTTGGATAAGGTTTCAGAACCGTTTTTTGGCGAGGGGTTGCGTCGGGGCTGAGCATGTGGCGGGGCGTATAGCTGATATACTGGTGAGGTTTGGCCTCCGGTGATTAAGTGTTTGAATGCAGACTGACTGATAGGAGAACTCTGGACAAAACGTTGGAGGGAGTTAGAATGCACTGGTGTTACACAACTCCATGTCCCCCAGCCAAGAAAAAAAAAGAGATCCAGGAGGATGGAGAGAGGCCTGGAACATGAGCTGCAAAAATGTCTATAGTGTCGTCGTAATTCAGGTGTCATTTTCTCGGTACTGGTGTAGTGATGTGTTTTTGATTTTTTACAGTTTGTAATCGTCATTGTATGAATTACCGGCTAAAGAACTTGTTGATTTTTGCCGCAGCATCGCCCCGAAGAATTCTGAAAAACTCCGATCCTCTCACTCACACACACACACACACACACACACAGGAAATGCGTTGCGTGGCAAAAGTCGACTTGGAACACCCACAGGAGGGTGCACCACCGCTGACCATCAGTGGGATGTGAGAACATCAGGGGCCTGCTGTGGCCTGTCTCTGTTCCCCTCATCTATGGATGTTCTGGAAGTCCAGATGTAGATAGCAGACTTTTGGAGACACTGTTTTCGTGTGCGCTTTACACACCACTCGACGGTTCGCTCTGTGCGACTCAGTCGGTGCCCCCACCCACCTCGCCGTCAGAGCCGTTCATTCACTTCTCCCACTCAGTTCATCTGAAGTTTGTCCTCCTACTAGCACGCCATCTTTTTACTTTCTCCCCAAGTCTCTCTCGGCTCTCCCGAGTAATTTCTTTCATCTGGTTTTACTTTTAGTCCAATTTCGCTGGTCATTCTTGTGAATGTTTTTAGTGTAACACATTTCATTTGAGGTGGTGTAAAGACATTATTGCTTTTAAGAGGTTACGACTTTATTCTAAGGCATTTCACCGTCCTTCAAGTAAAGATTTACCCCTTCTCCCATCTCTGCAGCGTCTATGTGGACACCTGTCGTTCGGGAGTCTCTCCACATTCCTGCTCCGCGTTTGTATGAAGTTGTCATCGGCGGTGCAGAGTCGACTCGCTCACTTCTTCCATCCCCAGGTTGTTAGGCTTCATTAGCAGCCAGCTCTACCGCCAGGAATGTGACGGGATCGATCTCGGGTTCTATGGCTCTTCTCTCCCCTCGCCATCATTGCGCGCACGGGATTGGCTTTCCCATCCTGACCGGGTGTCACCGGGGTTGCGACTGAATGGAAAGCGTGGACCGCAGTGTCCGAGTCATCCTGTTGGCAACGCCAGCCTGCATGGCGTCCCGCCTGGCACCGGATAGCACCGATCAATACAGCTGTGCCACCACGGGGGCATCTGGACTTCAGATTATACACCCACGAATGG